TTTTTTAATTGAATGTGGTGAATTCTTTCGTGTGTATGTATTAGCTTATAGGCTTCTTTATAATTTTTTTTCATTTTCTAGCAGTGTTAGAATGATAAATTTTTTTAAAAATTATATAATTTGATTGGTTAATAATCACAGAAAATCATGGGTAGATCTATAAAAATTAACTAATCAAATGAACTTCTGTCTATGACATCCTCATACTAACCTTTATACTCTTTACAGTATTAATCCTGATCAAAATATTATTTATATACTTGTAGAACAATTACCAGGATCAGAGACAAAAATTATTTAGATTTTTTTTTATTTGTATTCGCATCTGTAATAGTGATATATATATTTTTTTATTTGTATATTATGTTGTCGTCCCGGCAATATAATTTTTTATAATAAAAAGGGAGGGTTTGCTGGGCTCCAATTTTTGATTTTTATGTGATTTTTTACAATGTAGTTTGCGATTATTAATTAGTGAAGATAACAGAGTCATACCTAGTTTTCTTATTAATCTATACTTTTACAATTACTATTTGGATTGAATTCTGATATTTATTCTCCCAACATGTAAGACGATATGTTTTTGTATTGACATAATCACCACTCTCCCATAAACCCTCTATATTATTTCTTATATTTTCTTTTTTATGATCTTTATTGTATATAGGACAGAGTACAGATCTATTAAAATTAAAATAATTACTATATTTAAAACTATGTTTCAAAGTTAAATAAAGAAATCGTTCTAATACTATTTTAATAACATGTTTTTGTTTCTCTTCTGGGTCTTCAGATAAGATCGAAATCAGAGGCCAAGATTTGGTTGGCGTGAGTGAATTGGAAACATGAGATTTAGTAAATATACTTATCTTGGTCTCAGTTTTTGGTAAAGTTTCTTCGCAAACTTTAGTTTCTATATCAGATTTCGGTTGGCCATGTGCGCGTGAAGAATTCTTCATGCCGATCAATTTTTGAGATTCAAACGATGATACTTTTGCATCTAATTCTTTAGTATAAAGATTTATGATATTTTGAATTTGTGTACCGGGATATTGCTTCAATGTCTTGTCATGAAAATAAGCACGGGTATGGGTTGGATTAAATGTTGCATTTATCTTGATTTCTGGATTGTTTTCTTAAGATAGCTTTGAACTAGATAAATCAGAAACGTGGCATTTAGTAAATATACTTACCTCGTTCTCTGGTAAAGATTTAACTTCCTCACTTATCTTAGCTTCCAAATTAGAGATGTGAGACAAAAGGATAGAGGAAATGGTTTGAATACATGTATCTAGTGAAGTTTTGTTACCAGCCTCAGTAGGAATACTTACCTCATTATTTGAAATGTCATTCAAGCTAGAGTTGGTCATATTAGAGAGTGAATTTTTTACACGCAGTAGGAGGTTAGTATCATATTTTTCTGTAGAACGACTCACTTCATATATGACTGTATTGATTTGCACGTCAGTTAATTTTGAAAGTTTATTTGCGCTATAAGTCTTAATTTACAAAATCTTATCTTCTCCAATTTCATTAAACAACCTATATATAGGTTTAGTTAGTTGTGTTTTTTTATGCAAATTTACTTGGGAGATACCTGAAAGATAACATAACATTTCATCATAAATTTGGCTACTCGCTAGTTCATATGCTTTTTGTTTCATAAGATGTGGTTTATTTTTCAGGATTTCAGGTAAAATTTCACTATGTCTTTTTTCAAAAAATTTTCTATATGAATACTAGCTAGCAATTTCATCTTGTTTAGCTCGCATAGTGTTAAATTCCGCAAAACAAATTCTTTTGAATAGATATACCAATTTGGTTGCAGGTGATTGGTTGTGCCAGCTCTGCTGATTATCTGTAGAGCTTTTAGACCCTTCGGATCGCCTTTCTGAGACATCTACATTAACAATTTTAACAGTATCTCCCACTAAAGCTTCTATTCTTAATTTTTCTATCAAAGATTGTATGTCTATTTCAGGGATTTTTGTTTTCTGTAAGTCTGTATTCTGTTCTGAGGATTGTTTGGATAAATTAGGAGTATTAGGAATAGATTGCAATTCCAGAGTTTGTTCGATATGTGATTCATCATAAGATTTTGACGAGCTATCCGAAGATGAGTTTTGGGCTTGGCGTGAGTCAGCTTCCAGCTAAAGCTTCTTTTCCTGATTTCTTTCTCTAATTTCATTGCTAATCCTTTCTTTATATTTACAAATCAAAAATTCTTTAGTCTCCTTTTCGTATAATGATTCCGGCTTTGTATGAACAGGCTGGTATTCATCAGAATAAGGATTAACGTTGGATTCATTAGAATTTGGTATAAGCCTGCATATTTGTGTTGAAGTATTATCAGATACCAGAGTATTATTGCATTGTAAGTTATTTTGTTCAGAGCTATCAACCGGGGGCTAGCTTATGGCAATATTGGGATTTTGCTCTGAATCTTCAGTGGAGCTGGCATATAGGCTAACTTTCTCGTGATTGGCCAATTTTATTCAATTGAATTTATATAGTTTAAAGTACTTTTACCCCCTAATATAGTAAATTTTTTTTTTTTAAAATATAACTACCGTTTATAATACTACAGAAGACTCTTCACGAACGAAGCTTCAAGTATCTTGTG